CCCATCTTTCTTTCTTCTCTCCCCTTCCTTCTCTCCCTCTCTCCCATTCAAGTACTAACCAGGCCCAACCCTGCTTAGCTTTCAAGGTAGCGGACTCTCCTCTCCTTTTTTCTGTCCTCCCTGAGGTCTATTTGTCTGTCTATTTTTTTTTTTTTTAATCTCAGCCTTTTATTGTATTCACTCATTTGTGATCTGTGATACAGCCTATAAATATTTGAGAATGAGTATGGAATTTTCTCTTTTTTACCATTATTTGATTTTAAAGATTTCTTTTATAGTTTTGAGTTATTTTAGTAATTATCATTAGGCATATAATAAAGTTGTTAATATACAAGTTTAAGACTTACACAGTTCCCTACATGTAAGTGTCAGGGAGGGATTATGAGGAGCCTTTAACAAGGCCATGTGAGGCAAAGTAAACTTCTCCAGTCAGTTTTGTGTTTTAGGGTGACAGGATGACTACACAGGTTCATTTATATTTAAGGGAAAGTTGAAAGCAGATTTTAGAAGAGTTTCCCACATACTATTTTACTTTGGGAGGAAGGGGAAAAGATAATTTGGACTGAGGGCATCCTTAGGAAGCATAAGTTTGATTTTTACTACTTTCTTTTTCACAACTTTTTGATGAAAGGTAACTCTATTTTAGTGATGAAGAAACTAAGTGTCAAGTTAAGTGAGAGACAAGTAGCAAGAGACTGTGCCAGGCTCGGGAGGCCTGTCTGCAGTGCCCCAGTCTCCTGGGCTTTTCCTGTATTTACCTGCCTTTAGGGCCACATTCCAAGAGGTTAGAACTGAGGAGTGTGGGGCAGCTTTCAGCCAAGAATTCCTCCCAATTTTTCTTTCTCCCAAAAGAGAAATTTTCATTTTGAAGTGATAGGGTTGGAACACTACTCTCTATCATTCTTAAGGGAGGTAGACGAGAAAGTCTCTGAACTGGGCCCTGTTGTTGATTCTCATCAGCGAGGTTACAGTCAAAGACTAAACCAGCCCCAAACTTAGTTTATAAATTGACATTTAG